TTATTATGTTTTATTTTTATTATTTCCCTTCTACGTGGTGACTTTACCTAAAGAACCAAGAAGATGAATCCCTGCAGTCACGAAAGCTTTAAATCGAAATATAATAGGTGTTCCTGGTACGAAGTCAACAAGTGGTGGTCGTATAAAAAGAGACTGGTGACCGTCATAGCAATGTGGAATTTCCATCGCTGGCTTAAGATCGTCAAAGGAGATCAGTGTCTGCCCATGCTTGATTAAGCCGGGAGACAAGTTGACATGACTCTTTCTCTTGTGTGAAGACTGTTATCAATACTTCATGCAGTTGTCCTTCCGAGTGAAGAGGTTTATCGTTGTGGTGTAACTGTAACAAACACGATTTTTATTGTGATTTTTTAAAGGAAGAAAATAAGTAATTTTCGTAGTACATAGTCAACGAGCTATCTTTGTTATAGCCTGTTTGCGCGTTTTATCGCATCGAACTTTACGAGCAGTATGTTGTCAATGTTGATTGAGAGGCGTTGCTCCATCGTAACGCGCTTGCAACGCCTCTTCCACCGATTTGACTCATTTCACAAAATGAAAATACAAAAATAAAGTAAATGTTTGTTGTTTAAATTCCATCCCCTCTCTAGATATGTTAATTCTCATCGACTATACGTAATTACAATGATCACATCAAGAAGCTGTCTCCCAACGTTCATGTTGGTGGCTTTGAGACCATCCACTCACAAGGCCTGAGAGCCGGGCTTCGTTATTTGCAACTCGCCTGGATTTGAACCCAGGATCTCAGCTGTGCCAGCTCAGTGCTCAGACCTCTGAGCTACTGCTTGTTGTGTTTAGTTTGTTGTCCTGCTCCCCACCCCCAAACCTCTGATTGGCACGGTTGGCTACGTACGGTGCGAAAGAAATTCAACATACATAGTTCCAGCTCCATCAATGCATAGTTTTAACAGTAATTGTATTCAGCGTGCCATATGGAGTTTATTTACTACTACACTGCTTCCAAATGCATTTATTCGACAATTATAAAGGACTCGCCTTTAGCCCGTCCAAGGACGGGTGTATTGCAATAAATCTGAAACTTGCAAGCGAAAATCAGACCGCGATGTGAGCGTCATTACATTAATTTGTAAGGGCGCGGTGACACAGACCTATTTCATTTTAAGGTTATATAATCCCTTGTTCATTATGACGTTGTTTTAACGTTGATGTCTCAATAGCGTGACGGAGATCACGTGACGTGAAGGTTCTGCCTTTGTAGTGAGGGTTGTCAGTTGACGCCGAGGAGGGGGGAGGAGGCGCCTCGCCCCCCCATGTGGAGTGACGTCACCCGCTAATTATTATTAATGAGGGGTGTTCAATATGGAGTGACGTCACCTGTTCATGATTATTAATGAGGGGGAGGGTGCTCCATGTGGAATGACGTCACTTGCTCATGATTATTAATGAGCGGGGGTCCATGTGGAGGACATAACCTGTTCATGATTATTAATTAGGGGGGATAGTCGACGTGGAGTGACGTCACTTGCTCATGATTATTAGTGAGGGGGGGGAGTCATCCATATTGAGTGATGTCACCTGCTCATAATGAATGAGGGGTGGGGGGGGTGTCCATTTGGAGGACGTCATCTGCTCATGAATATTAATGAGGGGGGCTGGTCGATGTGGAGTGACGTCACGAGTGTTAAGGACAGACATTCCTGGGTGATTATAGTAGGTGTTTATACATTGTTACCCTGTTCACAAACACAATACGTTCAGAAGGAATGTATACATTTTTTTATTCTAGTAAATGTGCAACTAACTTTCTTTCTCATAAATGGCATTTAAATGAAAAAAAACATGAATTAGAATGCTGCTGTATTTTAAGGATACATTTTTTATAGGAAAGTAAGATTGAATATTACAGTTATAAGGACATTTGGTATGTGGTATAGTAATTTGAGTATGCTGTCAAATTAATTAAAACACTTGTTATTTTTTTGCTTTGTCAATCGTTATCCCATCGTCGTCGTGCATTGAGAGACAAAGAATCCATTGAGATGATCTCTTAGAGCGAGCAGTGATTGTCAGTCACGTTCCACAGCAGCCCCCAGAATGGATATTACAGAGCTACCTCTGGAATCCATTAAGTGGACCTCTGGCCAACACAGCAGGGGCGGGGAAGCACCTTCCCACATTGCCCTGCTGATTGTCACATGACAATCAGCAGAAGTGTTTGAGGATTAAAAACATTAGAATTACAAAATACGAGTCACGTAACTAGCAGACTATATTTTTCATTCTCAGAGTTCGAACTTAGCCCAAAATCACGTGATTGGATGTATTTTGTGTGTATTCACAAAGTGACCGGGTTTTCGGACAATAAATTCACTACATTTGAAAATGCGGTTTAACCACAAGCAGCTGGCTGGATGCAAACCCAGGAGTTCAACTGTGCCGGCTCAGTGTTGCGACCTCTGAGCCACCTTCCCACCCATTTTTTTTTATCACATACACACACAGCGTATTGTACTTTTTCGCACAATGTATTTAAAGTGTGCTCATATAGCTGTGTCTTGAAGCAAATATACGTTCTTCCGGAACACTTCCTGTTAGCAGAGCGTCACGATATCTTAAGAAGCAGGTCCCAGAATGTGACATCGTAGAAGTGCTTTTGGAATCACTTTGGGAGGCTTATCTTACCGTATATGACGCCGTTCTCCTTTGTGCTCGGTACAGAGTGACCTGTTTCTGGTAAAAAATAATTATTTCAACCCTCAAAGATTAGCTTAATAAATCATGTGAAAGTAACATTTTATATACCGGCTTTTTAGGCAGCCATGAATTACAAGCTTTGAGACCAAGACGCTTGAAACTCTTTAGAATCTATTTTAGTCCGATTGTTCTATTGGCATCAAAACACTGTTATTCAGAGCTCGCCGTTAGCACTGAAAGCATCCCCTCGCAAGCGTTTTCGGATTGTACCCCACGTCTTTCAGCACGGTGTCTGACGTTTCGTTCCACGTGTGGGAGGAGCTTCTTCGAACTCAACTGGCAGCAAATGGAGCGAAACGTTGGACAAAGTCGAAACAATGCACGGTACAACCGGAAAAAACGTATAGGAGAGCCGTACAGCGCAACTGCAAAAACAGTACGGGTCTGTGTTCACTGATGTCACAGAAACATCTTTGAAATTAATGTAATACACCTCTTAATCCACATTCGGTGCACGTAAATGTGAATGTGTCTTTAAACCCGCCACCACCCGACACAGCCAATGAGTAAAGTTTGTCACGTAAACAAAGCATGTCAATTCGTTATTAGTTCTGGTGGAGAGTAAACCCACAACATTTACAGTAAAAAAATGTTTTGTTTATGTGACAAATCTTACTACTTGACTGTGTCGGATAGTGGCGAGTTCAACGACACATTGACACGATCTAACCCACAAAAAAAACCTAAAATTGAAAAGGGTATTTATTGAACGTCAATAAAACTAAGGTGTTTTATTCTCAGGGACAAAAGAAGCCAAATTAGGTTTCAAAACCAATTGAATGTGTTTGGTTTTTGTTGTTGTTGCACAGTTATAGGTGACCGGGCTGAGGCTATCGACACACTGCATTTAAGAACGCGCGTTAATCACGGGTGGCTAACTGGACTCAAACCCAGGATCTCACCAGTGGCAGGTCAGTGGTTATGATCCCCTGAGAAAGCTATCCACCTCGACGCTTGAAACCTCATAATCAGATGTCGTCATCTGCATACGATACTAACAGCTCAACAGAACCTCAAGTGCCTGCAACTCAGGAATTGCGAAGCCCCCGTTGAGCTCCACCGTGACCACCCTTGCATGCTCATCGCTGTGATGAACTTCTCATAAACGATGGCATTGTAGTTGTAGAGGGAAATGCAAAAAAATCCATCATTGTACTTTACCGCTTATTCTCCGAAATCTAGACTCTTGACCTTTGCCAAACCACAATGCCTAGCATGGTGAAAAAAATGGTGCACTAACAACTCGCACGGAGAGGGGAGTCCTCTATCCAGCAGTGGTTTGGCAAAGGGCTGTGCATGCACATCAGCGCTGATGATTCCTTAAGGATTTTCTGACATTTGGATATTATTCCTTAAGGAATTTGGACAAATTCCTGGACACTTCTTGCAGTAATGATTCCTCTGTAGGGAACTTGTGAAATCTCGAGTCACATTCATAGGATTCTTTGTAATCGAGCTTCTGTCATAGAAAGGGTCATGGTGTGTATTTGAATGTATGATTAACTTTTTTCGCACCGTACGTAGCCAACAGTGCTAATCAGAGATGTGGGGGAAGGACAACAAACTAAACACAAAAAGCAGTTCTAAAGAAATGAGTTTTCGATCTAGATGATTTAAAAGTGCATAACTCCAGTGGCTTCCTAATATCGGAAGGAAGAGCGTTCCAGACGGCCGCAGAAGCGCATCTGAAAGCGCCGCGCGATATTCGATGGCCAGCCAACTGCCGCTGCTGTGAGGATGACCGGAGCCCGCGTGATGGTTTATGCTCCTTGATGATATCGGCAAGGCTTTGTGGTTCATTTGTGGTAGGCACTGTGTGTGTAATGAGTGCGACCTCGTAATGTGTTCTTCGTTTGGCAACCGGAAGCCAATGCAGCTCGGCGAGCCCTCGACGGACATGGTCAGGTTTTTCAATACCCGTCACGACACGTGCCAAAAAAACGTTACGTGATACCATTACGTGACACCGTGCTGTATAAGAGTCAACATCCATCAAGTGCTGATCTTGTCGAGATCTTGTTGAGATCGGCACTCACAAGCAGCAGCAATGGCCGCCGGCGCTACCGATGGTGGCGCCGCCATTGCGCGTTCCTTCCCATCCCCACCCCCCTGCTCGCCCTGCGTGGGCCTCGTCAGTTGGGCGGCCGCCTCTGTTTGCCGTATCGATCGGTCAAATATGTGCAGAGAGAAGAGCCGTGTGTGCAACCTCCGCGTGGCCCCCACGACTTCAAACACTCCAGCATGGGGCAAACATGAATGACCTCTTCCACGAAAACAAAACATGCGTGTGTGTAAATGCATCACAAGCATGCTGCTTGGCCATCATGTGCGGCATACAGTGCAACAAGTAGCATGCATATTTTTCCGAGTTTAAAAAGCCTGAGTGCCTCCGCGTTCAAATATCTCTGTTGGTGGTAGTGCCGAATTGGTGGTGGCACTGAATTAGTGGTAGAAATGCCACGTTTCTATGACAGGAGTTTTATTCATGACAACCACTTTGACAAACAGCAAAGTGGCCTTCGTATTTAAGAATAATCTAACTCAAATAAAAAATGGCTGGGATTTTAATTCATACCGCTTCTGATTATGAATTAAAGACAAGCATTGTGGTGTCCATTATGGTAATTGTTATAATTAAGATTGTATTATTTTTTTTATTTTGCTCTGTACTTCTCTAGAAAGTTATTGCTCCATATGCCATCTTCGGTGTTTTGTTTCCACCAATTTTGCACCTCCAGTCACTTACGCCTTATCTTGTATGTATGTTGAACATCTTTGCCACGGTTTATAGCACACTTCTAGGCACGATGAGCTCCGGTCTTAATATCAATCTGTGAAATTTGTGTACATACAAATAATAGCGACAGTTTTGCCAAAGGAGCCTCATCTGTCAACCACAGTATATTTTAAGTGGAAAATCCCCACTTGCAACTAAAGTAATCGTGTGTGTTTATGACTGTGCCGTTGTAGACTTAATCTGGGACATTTGTTTTTGGTTTTTTACCATTGCGGGATTTTAACCAAATTAATCTAATTTCAAGTAATTTAGTTTCACTCTCACTTATGGCCAACAATAGAACCAAAGATGCACACATGAGAGCAAACATATGCTGTATAATCTTCAATTACAATTGCACATCACCACTTGGATTCAATTAGTATCATTTTGAATGAATTTATCATTCATAGTCAGGGAAATGGCAGCGTTGGTTGTACGCATTCTTAACAGTAGGGCCACGTAGCCTCTCAATTCTCTAAAACTGTTCTGTCAAAACCCATCAAAATCACTCGTCTTCCAAGTGAACCTTGACTACACGTGTTCCTCAACTACAAGTTATACCGTGTGTCTTGAGCCACAACAAGAGTTGTTTGCATCACCGGCGAAGGGGGTAGATGCCATGGAGGTCATGTATCACCGAGCCTAGGCCTGACATGGAAGTGTGCCAAGCACAAAGGCACTTAAGCCCTCCTGCAGCGAGGATTTTTGAAAAACCTGTGGGAACATTTTACTCTGCGAGACAAATACTCACGCGCATTTTCGTCACGCGTGTTTACATGGCAACGATCGCACTACTGTCCCCGGTAGATTGTGTGACTGCGATGTATCCTATGCCACGCAATCCGACAAACCCAACTGTTGGTGTGGCAGGATGCCGCCTTTAAACGCTGAGCTTGGTTTAGAAAACGCTGTAATTGAAACCTCGCACCCTGCTCTGCCCAAAATGAAAAATGTTTAAAACTTTATCCACACGACCCTTCCCTCCCCCCTCATCGTGTGTGTAACCTCTTAATCTGCTGCAGCAGCGTATTTGTTCATTAAGGCTAAGCCAGAGCGCTCCGATATGGCCCTTTCTCGCACACACAAAGGCACGCCTGTTGTGAGTAACATCGCTGCGGCGGTAGCGGCGCACTGAGAACAACCGCTCGAACAAACGGCGAGACATCATCCAGCGCCGGGCAATGAGCGTGATGAACGACGGCCCACGCGGGGAGTTGGGACGCGCGTGAAAACGTGGCCACTTGTCGCCCGCAAGGACCCAACGACGGCAAGAGGCGTGAGCGGTGAGCGCGCGAGGTCATTTATTTGTATTATTGCACCGCTCTTTATTATAAACCCACTCCGTCTGTTGTTGTATCCTCAAATCTTGTAACTCAATTTTCACCCACTTCCCAATGTGGTATCGACTGCAAACTTGGTATACTTATGTCACACTGATGACAATACTATATTCAATCATTAAAAATGAAGAATATATTTTTTAACATGATTTTGTATATGTTATGTTTCTGTTTGGGTCTAATTGTCCACGCTCAACTGACGTTGGCTGTAAATCACCACGGTCCCCTTACGTTGTGGCAAGCATCGGGGCCACTTCCTGGAGTCGTGGAGTTCTTCCATTACTAGTACGGAACAAGATCATAAAAGCGTGTTTAAAAAAAAGTGTTTTTTTATATATAACTTTTTTTGGCAGCATACCTGGCAAAGGTGGGCAAGCCACTCGGCTTTGCAAGCGTGATGGGCGCGCTCGGCTTGCAAAGCCGTGGGTGCCACCAGGATCACTGTGTGTTCTGGGGCGTCTTGTAAAGTTAGCTTGTGTTGTGTTGTGCGACTTGCGTGAACATTGCTTTGGTTTGATGAAAAGTTATTAAGTGTAGGATTGTTTTTTTGTCTCGTGTGCGGAGTTACTTGTCTGAATTTGGTTGGCACTGCCATTGCCGTTGGAGGTTACCTGTGTTTTGTTAGGAAAAATGTATGAGCCAGAGGTTAAACATATAATCTGTTGTACAGTATAGTGTTTGGATTAGAGTATTTTGCATGGAAAGAATATACTGTTCATATTGTGTGTGTACGGGCTGTGTATTCAAGACAAGTCAAAAGTGTCAGCCAACTCAAACAATGAGGTGGTGCGCATCTCTTTAAGCTGCCCTGAAAATGCGGAATTTCCACATTGCCATGGCAGGGCCCAGTCTGAGGCACAACAGATGTGGATGTTCAAACAAAGTGGTGCTCATTCTGTTAACTCCAGAGCATGGATGATAAGTAGAGTTTGACCCGTGGTTTTTTTTATTTCTACCTGGAGAATATTGTGTAGTTACCCAGTCAATACCAGCGTAGCACTCGTACAAGATTGTGACATTCCGTGATTTTTCTAGTTTCATCTAAGCGGCTGTAGCCGTGTGCACAACGTTCCCTGTGTATTGGAGCCTAACTCAAGTGAATTATGTTTCTAAACCTTGGCATGCCGCTCAGTTCATTGGTAAGGCAATGGTGTGGCATGGCAGTGTTGTCCACAGTGATTGGTTATTGCGTCATGCGTAGAGAGACCGGCTTATAAGCATGCAATGATTAACATGCATTGTTGGGGTGAGATAGTGGTTGAGTTGTTACCATGAAGGGTGTTGAAACTGGCAGATCGCATTGACATTGTGATGAAGATGATGATTATGATGATGTAATGATATTGGTGGTGTGCTTGTGATAATAATGAAGAAGGGAGCGGTGATGGGGCTGAGTTATAAAGTACAGTACTCTGATCATAATAATTCTGATTATTTACCAGGCATAACCACAGTGAGTATTCAGGCATATTTTCAAAAAAGGTCCTGTATTGGGGCTCTTCGACCAATACAATTAATGAGCGCCACACAGCATTGATATCCTCTGACCATCTCACAGTCCCATGGCTACAACATCTGGCAAGCTCTGGCAGCCACTCATACAATTACTAACAATGCTCAATCCAGCTTAGCTTCGAAGATCCGATGACTAAGCAAACATAGAAGCGTTTGACCAACGTTGGTCGGACGCTTCCAACCACATGCCAATGTTAGCCAAACGTTGGCATGTTTACTGGGGAAATCAGGTGCATTCAGGGTAAATTGATGGTTGGCAAGAGACTCGGCCCACAGTGATTCCACTGCCTTCGCAGTTTAATGAATGATCGGGATTTCACTCAAGAATCAGTTCTTGTTTTAACATTGCCATGAATGCAGTAGCTCCTTTCGTGGCTGCAGAGGTAATGTGAATCTATCACAACACAGCATATACAAATACAATAGAAATTCCTCTTCTTTGGTTCTTTCGGTAAAGTCACGTAGAATGAGAATAAAATAATAAATTGATAAAATAAAATAACACAATAATATTCTCACGACGTTTCGGCCACACGTCGTGAGAATATTATTGTGTTATTTTATTTTATCAATTTATTATTTTATTCTCATTCTACGTGACTTTACCGAAAGAACCAAAGAAGATGAATCATTGCAGTCACGAAAGCTTTAAATCGAAATACAATAGAAATTATTCTATACTCTTTGGTTCTATTCGGTAAAGTCACGTAGGTAAAAAATAAAACAACACAAATCACGACGTTTCGGCCACAACACAAGCAGCCTTCATAAGGTGAAGGGAGCAGACTGTCTCGAGGACAGCGCTGGAGTGAAACACAGCCACGCTTAGACCGCGACCTTTAAGCTGTGTGCGAGGAAACAAGGTGCCGTGACAAAGGAATTATCATAAAAATTAGCATTTGATTGGCCGACTTAGCATGATGAACGATGTAGAGGTGGTGTACATGCGGGTGAACATGCCGGTTGGCGAGGGGGGGAGGGGGAGTTTACCTATTGATGGTGTGAAAAGGGAATTTTTAAGAGCTGCGAAAGTTTGGGGTACCACTACTTGAAAAATATACTGGTAGCTTGCCATCTTTCTCCACCATTCTTAGATGTTCTGTTTGAGAGGAGACCTGATGGCTCATTGGGGCATTCTGTCTACAGGAAACCCACCCACACAGATTCCTACTTGAAACCTGATTCCCACCACCACCCAGCCCAAAAGAATTCTCTCATCAAAACTTTATACCATAGGGCTCTTTGCATTTCGGACCAACACCACCTGACCAGTGAATTAAAACATGTACACCTGGCCCTCAAAAGGAATGGATACTCTGACCGTACCATCCGCCAAGCTGTTTCTCCCTCCATACAGAAACAACCACTTGATACTCCGCGCAAAACCATCACACTACCATATATAGCAGGCCTTACTAAAAAGATTTCCAAAATTCAAAACAAACACAAGATCCAGGTCCGGTTCAATACAGTACACAAAATTCGTGATCTGATCCCATCCGTGAAGGATGTCATTCCTGACTTACAGTACCCCGGGGTTTACAAATTGAGTTGTACCTGCGGTGATTGCTATATCGGGGAGACAAAGCGACATGTATCTGACCGAATTCGCGAGCACAAATCAGATTTGAAACACGGCAGATCAAATTATTCTGCCGTAGCTGATCACTGTTACAATGCTGTGGGTGATCACGATATAATTTTCTCAGATACCAAGGTTCTTTGCAAACCTACGGGTTTTTATCAGAGATTTGTTCACGAGGCAATTCAGATCTACAAACACAGACACAATTTCAACCGAGAAGATGGTTTCAAATTAAGCACCATTGGAAATATGTTCTAAATCGAACCAAACATTAAACTAATTTTTAATGGTACAGTATATTTTTCAAGTAGTGGTACCCCAAACTTTCGCAGCTCTTAAAAATTCCCTTTTCACACCATCAATAGGTAAACTCCCCCTCCCCCCCTCGCCAACCGGCATGTTCACCCGCATGTACACCACCTCTACATCGTTCATCATGCTAAGTCGGCCAATCAAATGCTAATTTTTATGATAATTCCTTTGTCAAGGCACCTTGTTTCCTCGCACACAGCTTAAAGGTCGCGGTCTAAGCGTGGCTGTGTTGCACTCCAGCGCTGTCCTCGAGACAGTCTGCTCCCTTCACCTGATGAAGGCTGCTTGTGTTGTGGCCGAAACGTCGTGATTTTTGTTGTTTTATTTTTTACCTACGTGACTTTACCGAATAGAACCAAAGAGTATGGATCCTTGCAGTCACGAAAGCTTTAAATCTAGAAAAGAAATTATTTTCTTGCTCGCAGTGTGACGCATATCGTGAGCATGGACAGCTATTTCAATTCATGACGTCTATTTTATCAAATCAGCTACAGTATGTGCGTATATCTAATGAGTCAAAATTGAGACAGTAAGTTCAGAAATCGGTTATGACTATTGGGGTCTCATTGGTGATTAGGTATTGCTTTTACCAGTCGTTTGTAATTTTCCTAAATTCATTACTTATCGCAATATCCATTTTCATGGCTTTCAATGCTGTTTTCCCACATCCATCCGTTTACTCGAACGGTGATGGATCTTGTGCAACTCGTGATTCCATAAATTAACGTTTTTTTTGTACTGCCAATACTAATGACATTTTTACTGTTATAAAATGTAATGTATTAAAATAATAAAATGTAACCCAGTCTCATGACCTTTTCAGGAGGATCCTGTATTCGTCTGCTTGGCCATTTTATGTCCCAGGAGTCTTTCATTTGAACATGTTATGGACATTGCTGAGAGTAATTTGTACGAACGTTAAGTCCTGATTGCTGTAAACAATTGGTTCTTAACCTTTCCTGCAGCCATGTACTCCTTTGATTCTCAATCGTTCAAAAATGTATAATCTTAATAAATACATATGTTTGATGAAACAAAGTAGTTGTACTTACGTGCCTGTGCCTTATTGGCATTTCGATGATTTACCCCTACAAAGGGCATCTCGCACCTCCAGGGGTGCGTGTTGCACCCCAGGTTAAGAACCACTGCTGTAAACGCTTTGCTCTTCAGATATGTATGCGGCCATTCGCTACTCGCCTCCACGCAAACCAACCATCTATTATTATTAAGCAGCTTTGGCCTAATGCAGACTAAATGGACCAAAGCCGCGCGGTGGTGCGAAGTTAATTGTGGAGCGTTAACCCAATCTCCCTCCAATTGCTCAAGAAAGCGCTCGATGGGGGGGGTGGTCTTTGTCTTCCAAACAATAAATTCCTCGCGTGAAACTAAATTAAATATCCCCCCCCCCCCTCCCACGGCTGCAATTCATATTACTGTACATATCCATTCCTCTGCCGAGCGTGTCTGAACAACAGCGCAGCGCGATTGGTGAGTGCACGAATGACATAAAGAGGACCCTTCTTCTCCAAAC